ACAGACATCGGTCCAGGCTGGAAGAAACAACGAGGTGGGCAGACCATGACGTGGCGCAGAGGGTTGAAGAGATTGTGCTCGGATCTGGCTTCCGAATGAATGAATACATTGAAAGACAAACAGCAATTCAATTAGTTGAAGCTTCGCAATCAACAGAGAACGAAGACTACCTTCGGAAATCAGCAGCATTTTGTTTCTGTACCGTAGTTTATTTGATTTTCACACACGTCTGAATTGAAGCTGTGTCAAGCAAATCACGATACAATAATCCTTATAAAGGGGAAAAGGTCTATGATTTGCTCGTGGGCGCGATATCGCTAGGTTGCCCAGGCAAAAGCAAGTAAATTTTCTTAGGAAATTAGCAATCGGAGCCTTCGTCTAACGAAAGCCTGACCCGCAGGGCAGCGGGGCGGTGTGTGAAAACCGTAGTTACCGCAGATGTAGCAAAGTATATCATTAGATCTAAACTGTTTGTTCCATTTGAAATGATAGGTTCCATAATCTAATTCATTCGTTTCTTCTCTGTCCCTTTATCACAAACCTACGCTCATAATTTATAACAAGCGCATAATTAAGTTAGCTGAAAGAGCCCAGTTTTTAAATAATGTCCACCATGGTATGGTATCAACCATAAAACCTCATTTTTCCAAGTGCTAAATGTGTGCTACACGTTTTGTGTCATCTCCAAAAAAAGAGAAGAAACAACCATTTTGTGATCGGCTTCAAGACCCAGTGGATGCACGCTACGGGTTAATCCTGTCGGAATGCAGTAGCGACACCTCATTGTCAGAGTCAATCAGTGGTCAGTGGTACATGAACTCTGCGTGAGCAATGAACTTTCATTCGAAAATATAACAATACTCCATAAGCATTTATTTGTAGACATCTTAAGGGTTAGTAAACATGGGAGCATTGATGAAATAGTTGCCCCATCACCCCGTAGAGCATAGAATTTACCAAAACAATACATTCATCGCAAATCCTCTTTTCTTTCCACAAAGTCCCACCGATTATCAAATATCTCTGATTGTTAACGATCCGCTCAATGTGAGCAAAGAAAATAATGGTTACATTTTAAACTACAGACCACCTCTACCATCTGCCCACAGTCGTCCCGCACGAGTCAATACGAATGCGGGCAGGAGATTATTGAACGTGACCGCACACACACACACACACACACACACACACACACACACACACACACACACACAACGATCTAGGAGACTCACCCGCGATATTCAATATATTTGTAGATTGCTCCGGCCAGAGCCCAAGCCACAATGGTATAATACCAACTGGAGATGAACATGAGCGCAATGCATAGGGACAAACCGATGAACGAGAGGAACCTAATTGGGGATAAGGAATAATAGCGAAACAAAAAAATAAACGGTGAGGTGCATATCAGGTAACTAAAAAAAATTAGCAATGGGTATGAGGCCAGTGAATTGAAAGCAACTTCGGCGACAAGCCAAATGGGCGAACAAGGCGATAGCAAACGAAAGGAAACTGGACATCAGAAATAGACAACAGCAATCACATGAGGGATTAGAATTGTCAGTCTGCGTGGGGTGGGACATATTCCCGTTTAATATGTGCACGTGAGACGAAGCAGCACACTGACCGAATTCAAACAAAAGCTTTGGAAATATTAGAAAACCAGAATAAATGAGAAGTGTGTGGCAGTGGATCACAGAAAGCAATATACATACACGGATCGATTGCATTTAATTTACATATGAATTTCTGCTCGTCTGATGCGTACAAAAAATGAATAAGGGATAAAAATTGTATCCTTTTATGGTTGAAAGACGAACTGCAAATACTTGCAAGCTGACCCACGCATGCAAGGACACACACACAACCTCCGCTGTGAACAAACAGGTAAGTCCGAATGAAATCTAGATCCATTTCCGGATTCAAGTCGATGAACTTCCAGTAGCACGAAAAAGTAGGCTCAACGATTTTAACAAAGCAAAGTAGTAAATTTTCCCAATCGAACTTAGAGTTTCAAAACAGTATAAAATAATGTAACACATAGTTTGACAGTGATGACGCTGCCAAGAAGTAAGGCTGAGCTAGTCAGGTACACAGTTCGCTATTTGAAATCGTTGATTATTCCTCAACAGCGGTGATTATTTTTTTACGACCATATTTTACCGACAGCTTAGCACAGATCTGAAGAGTTTGATTCATTCGCCTTCTTCGAGAAGCCTCATAGATTAGAGGAAACAGGACAATGAGCGATTATTTGATTAGTGGCGGGTCACATTCTCCATGTCGCAGTACCGTCGTCGGACAATTGTGACGTTTTCGCAGGAAGGATGCTTATCAAACGGAAGATCACCACACCCTAAGGCAATAGCGTTACCCATTCAGTGCTGGATGCTAATTTAATGACCGTTAGTATGTCTGAGACGTCGGTAGCGTGGCACTCGACGAGTAATGTCTGATAACTTCGATTACAACTAGATTTCAACTACACTCTAAGTGTGATCGAGGTTAATATCCAAGCAAGTAATTGAAGACAGATGCATGTTCTGTCTTGTCTCATTCATATGCGCACATGATCACATTTAGACCTTTTTAGCCTCCGGTAGCACAAAACAAACGTTTTCTAGTCATCAGAACAATGCTATTGCGGTGAGAAGTTGTAAGGAAGAAATCGTGAGTGAGCGCGAGAAAAGGAACAAACAAAACTGTCGGATTGTAAACAGTTAAAAATGTACAAATCGGTATTCTCGGTGCCAACCAACCGCGAAAACAATAAAAGTTGTTCACATCGCGACCGTCACGCTTCGCTATTAGATTAGACAAGCCAATCACTCCCACCAATGCACACACACACGCATGCGCGTACAAGGGTGGGTATTCAATCACTATCAATAGGGTAAAAGCCCTAAAAGTGGTCTATGGGGCACTAGAGAATGCAGCGAAAACGATGATTAAGCATCTCATCAATTGGAGATAACAGCACGGGAAGAATGCTGATGTGCGTATCACCAATATTGAAACAATTAGCACACACCGGTTCCTTTTATTTTTCCAGGGTTGTTCCAAGCACAAGTGGAAAACCAATTAAACGCGGACCGGCTGCACTGATGCCAGGACATGCTAACCAACTTATGTATTAATATATGTATAAATATGAGGCGATTCTCCCCAATCGGTGAGCGTTCACTTGACGCGTTAAAGAGTAAAAGAAAAATACTGCGCATTCAAACCGTTCTGTGTGCGCGCACGAAAAAACACTGAAATAGTTTTCTCGTTTGAGGTAGTCAACAGGTACGAGTTAGCCACTTGGGTGTAACAAGGTGCATAATATTTTTCGACTGTCAATTTGGTGAAAGCGGGGTTTTTGTGTCCACTGCCTACCGAAATGCGGGATTTTATTCAACAGAAGTGACTAGATGCATTTGAGCAGTGATTCTGTACACAGAATGCCGTAGTGGCCAATAGTTGTCAACCAATGCCTGTGAGAAGAACAAACACGCCATTGTTCCGTGGTCACAATCCGTAGAGGAACCGAACTTGATATCGAGACAACGTTTGTTTTTGGTATTGATACTCAGGTTCTGAAAAATGGATGGGTGTTCTAAGGAAGTAGCAACTAACCGATGCACCAGAGCTGATGAAGAATCGTCGACTTGGCTATCCGGGGTTCCCTGGTCTCATTTTCTAAGTACCAAGCAGCCGGTATAATTGAAAAGGTACTGTATTTGGACAGCAAGAAGCGGACGAGAATAGAATAAGATTTACTTAAAACGCTACTTAGACCTTATAGGTTAGATTATAACTATGTTATCCAGTCAAACGCATTGAATAACCGTTAAGGATACTTAAAGCTTGACCCCCGTAAGTTTCGATTGTTCGTCGATCGTTTCTCCAAAAACCTTCACCTTCTCGCGCGATTCAGGATGGATTAACATTATTGTTTTGGCGGTCGTGGCCCAGTGGTAACGTCACCAAATTATCACCCCGGGGAACGTGTTCGAATCCCGCCACCGTCTGACTTTCCCCGTTGTGTGTTGGATGACAGCTCTCTGGTTGACTGCTTCCCCCTTCCTGAAAATCGTATCATTTGTGTATTCAATAAAAGGAAGTAAAAATATAAAAAAGCATGTGATTTACCAAGTAAAAGGCAATCTAATCACTAAGGAGCTTTAAAAGCAATCACAACAATTATTATCATTTGCAAAACAGAGTGCAGGCACCTCAGTTGCTGTGGTCTGAGCATGGCGAGTGGATACGGGAGAGGAGTAATCTTACCAATGCGTGAAGCGGAATCGTGGTCGCCAGCTCGGTTCGCGCAGAAAACCGTTCAGCATGGTGGCCAAATTGACAAATCCGTAGCACATGAGGAAGAACCTGAGAAGGGGGAATGGAACAAATTTCCGCATGTGCGGCGTTCTGAATGCCCGCTACACCCACAGCTTATTCAACAGATGGATTAAAAACTGTCATCAAAAGTCCAATGATAGGATTGGGGCAAATTGTTGCTGAAATTGCTTAAATCAAAACCTTCAAAAGTAGTTTATCTCACAGATAACAAAATTAACATTCCAAATTGAGCTAATGATCCGAACTGCAATCAAGTAAGATAAGTAAGGTCGATCAACTCATATAAGGACCGTTTATAGTGCCAATTTTGTGAACTTTTCAGGCACAAAAGTATGTATAAAACCGCATCCGAAAAAATTAATTTTTAGGATGATGCCTGATAGTGTTGTGTCTGATTGTCGATCAAAGAGATAACTTCTTAGTATTTATTTGATGCTGAACTTCCGAGGTCATGAATAACCGCAAAGTCAGATTCGTACAACTGCTCCCTAGCAGCCTCAAATTCGGTGATCGCACATCTGTTTTATGTGCTCCAAACAGAAGAGGATATACTTGCATTCGGTCTCAATGGGGATGTCTTGGTAATGAGATGGAAAACTGCGCGCGCGCAAAGTTGAAATCTCGAACTTGTTGGACGCGTGCCGGCTAGACAGCACAACAAAGAACTGAGGAGTACCAGCGTGCATTCAACTAATGCACCTGATGTACCGTGTCTGTATGCCAACAATCAACTTCTGCATCAAACTCCAGATACTGCACTCTTATCTCACAGTTGACTTCCACAGCACAAAATGGTTGATGTTTCCTCAATTAAGCGCCTATCTTTGTTGACGGCTAACTGGGAAGACCCCTAGATAGGCCTGAAGAGGTAAAAATACACAAAACAATAAAGTGGGCTCTAAATAGTGAAAAATTTCCAATCTGAAAGTTTTGGGCAACATACTATGTACGAGAAATCAGTGAAAATAGTAGTCTACTCTGAATCTTTTGCATTTTTCGACAGAAGTTGAAATTACTCCAAACTTTTTTAGTAACACTAATGAGGAAAATGTTTTAAATTGGAGTTAGCCAAGAGGGGTCACGGAGTTATTATAAGTGTCATCATATACATCAACAACATTTTGACACGAGAAGTAGTTAGTGGAATTTACTAAAATCAAATGGGCAGGATAGAAGTTGGGGCAAGTAGTGATGGAGAAAGAAATTTAGAAACGACCAAACTGTGAGACAGAAAGTCGCAGTTGCTAACAGGGAATTGGACCGAAAACTACGTTCCCGCTTTTAACGGCAGGCATAACACGCATTGAAAACACCGGTGATTTATTTCATCTGTGCCAAAATTTCTGTATACATTCTGTTCCCGATATCTTAATCGATAAATTAAAAGTTAATAGGTCACAAGACTTAAAATCTCTTGGATGTTTCCCGTCTGCTGACCTAAAATGGTCCTATCACGCAGAACGAACATTTCTTAAAGTCAGAAAGTGGACCTTTTATATTTCACGCCTTCAACATTTGAGGGTGCCATTGTACATCATTTCTAAATTTATTTTCGCGTACGTTTTATCCCATTGAATCTACTGCTCTCCCATTATCTTTCCCGTGCTACTGTCTAATTGGACGCTCTCTGAAAAGCATCTCTAGATATGGAGCTGTATCTTATGAGGAGCTGGTTGGTTGATTCCACTATCAACCAACACCTTAAGGCAAGTGGCCGTTTGTGTGACTCTCTGTTGTCCGATGCATCATGTCCTTTACACTCAACTCTATCTAGCTCCAGTTCAAATTCTGTCACCCGCAATAAATGTAAACCTTCATATATTCGTACCACTGCTTTTCCCAACTCCGTTTTACCTTACCTTTCACGTTTGTTGGTTTCTAGGGAACGAATATCAGACGAACTTATGCACAGTCTAATGTAAATTTTCACGCTGAAATTTTTTTATATTTTTTCATGCGTTCTCGGAGTCCTATTCATTCTCGTCCAAGTAACTATTTGTCATATCTTTAAGCTCATTTTTAATAGCGCGTATACCAAAGTAAAAGTGATGACATTCTTTTCAATGAAAATTCTGTCCACATTGGATGAATAAAGTGTACTCTTGACTTGACTTAACCGAATCGAAACGAATTCAACAAATATCCAAATCGAATAATCTTTCACATTTTGATACATGTGTGTGTAACGTTTTCATCGCAAGGTTTTGCTATCCGAGGCTGAGATCGTTTGCAGTGCCAGTTCTGTGCCATCGTCGTCGAGGCACACTATACAATTATTTCGTCCGTGGTGGGACTCGTCAGGTGAGCATGCTTAATCAAATCTCAGGTTACGTCCAAGCCCCAAATCCCGGGGATTATTCTCTCCATTCGTATGGTTTCTCTATTGAATTGATTTTAACAACAGTATCCACATTTAAAGCTGCGAATAGCAGTAGGCGGTGTTCACTGTACGTTCACTTATCTCCTACATACAATCACGTCAAAGCCAGCTGTCGTCTTCGACAAGATAAATTGCTGATAGAATGAAGCACGCATACACATGGGAAACCCTGGTTTTGTCACATCCAGTTCTTTGGCTAATGTCGGTGGCATAGCAGAACAGAACATGGGCTTAACCATCGTGGGGGGGGGGGGTAAGTACACCTAAAAAAGCATGAAAATCGAATAGCAAAACGACCGAATGTGGCCAAGGTTCGGTTCACCTAATAAATGGTTCTTTGTGGGAAAAATCAATTCATTTGCTTCAATAAAGCACACGCAGAGACATGGAACTTCAGATCAAGTGCATCAAGTAACAGGTTTCAGACTTCGAGATAGTACATGCATCGCGCTCCTGAGATGACGAATAACTCACATGGTGACCAGAGGAGTGAGTGAATCAATCGAAGCGATAAGGATACCCACTTGGGAGATGCTGTAACTCAAAATCTGTGCCCTGAATGGTTCACCGCGTTTGGTGGTAACTTTGAACGGGTGAAGGAATGGAACCACATTGTCCTGGGCGATTGCTTGCAATAAACGAGGTGCGCCTAAAAGGGAAACAAAACGGAACAAGATGGGCACATTGTTATGGTCTGTTTACAACAATTGAAACGTTTCAATCACATAAGGGAACGTATAGACCGATGAGAAGGCTTTCGATATGGACGAAGGAATTACCAAAATCATACCGATCATTTTGTTCCGTAAACGCATAAGTTTCAATTTCACATGCACACAAATACTAGGGGTTCATTTGAACACATTTGATCAGTTCAAGGGACAAACCATTACCGTTTTACAGAGCCAAAACAGTAGGAAAAACTTCACTCTGAAGGACAACTTGTGCGCCTAAATGGATAACTTCAAATTCGCCATCGACAAATTTTCAGTTCTGCTTTAATATAGCAAGAAATTTTGAAGTATGAAGACCCCATAAGCATACATTTTTGGTAAACATCTTTGTCGAATGAATCATGGAAAAAGCCCTCAGGATCTGCAGTCCAGTTATGGGATAACAACAATAACTGGTATTGCACCTGAGACGTCAAGAAAGCAGTTCACCACCGCCAAATAAGGTTGGCGGTAGCCGGATTTGAACCTCAGACTTCAAGGCACTAACCAAGAACGGGGACAGCGGCCTCAGTAGCTTGTTCATCTGTACGCTCGGAAATTTTACAACCTACAAAACGTTCCTAGTCTGGTGAAAAATATGACAAAAAATGAACTGATAACATGAGAAATTCATTGAAAAATCCCTTGATTTTGCCTGTGAGCTTCGAAAGCGCAAAACTTAAAGCAGACTGTGAAAGAAAAGTAAACACATAAAGCGCATTTGCAAAGAAATGAACAAGAGAACACAATGGTCGCCCAATTGGAACTTTGGCAAACAAGCGAGAAAACCAAAACCTTTTAAACAAACAGCCATAGGATTCGCTCCTAATATTTCAATACCAACTGTCCGTCATCAAAAATGGTTACCAACAAGTACAGTATTCACTGTACCTTACTGATGTGATTTTCTGTTTTAAAAGAGTAACAACTCTTTATTCATCGAGAAATTCCCCTGACGTCACGGTGTATTGAGAATACAATTCACAAGTTTTCTGAGATATGGCGCAGTTCTTTTTCAGTTTAATTTTTACTTCTTCAAGCTTGTGGCCTCGCGCTTCCGTATTAGATCATCGTAGTTTTCCAGCCACATAATGAACCATTGAAAGAAACCAGTAATATGGAACAATGACAGATAGTGTAGCACCAGGTCACAGGATAGCCAATAAAAGGAATCGGATGCGTGAGGACAGCGGATGGTTGCACGAGCGCCACTGCCCCATCACCTAATGTAACTAATGATCAGCTAAGTCAAACAAAAAGGCCCTTCACTTGGAAGACTAGCAGAACGGAAGAAATACAATATTCTATGTTGAACCTATCCCAACAGGGACAAACAAAATAATCCGAAAGGTGGCATTGTTCATGTTGCAAATAAAGTACTTCTACCTGAGAATTTTATCCAATATGTGATCATACGTGTGAGTCGGTAAGGCAATCATGGGTAAAGATTCCTGAATGAAATTGAAATTTTCTTTCTATATTTGATCGTACCAACCGCCCTTTCGACCCACATGCAAGTAACGAAGCACATATTTTATCCAGTACTTCAAATCGTCCCTAAGGATAGTGGTTGTAGCATTACAGCAATACTGTTCCGAGAGTGGAATGCGCGCGCACACACACACACACACACGTGATTCGCAAAAAACACGCGCGGACTCCTGACTCTGGTAGACACATATATATGAATGTGCGTGTATACAATCATGTGTAATGTGGATAAAGGTTATCCGGATAGACCCGGCAATGGCTCGCGCTATCAGAGTGGCCACAAGAGTACCACAGCCTTAACTCGATCAAATCAATGCACCATCTTAATAGTACATGGCCGAGTACCTTGAATGATCAGAATTGTGTTATTGTGGAGGTGATACTCGGAGATCGGTACCTGACATAAACATCGATATAAACACGAATTTATTTCATTAAAGGAGTGACTGATTTTGATTCCCACAATCCTTGCGTAGTGCGTGATAACCCCAAACTGCCGTCCGGTGCATAATGGGAATTTTGCTGGGTACGTAAAATGTGCAGAAAACAGTCAACACTGTTGACAACAGAGATCATTTGGACAGTGCAATCGCCTCTCCGTCGAGAACAAAAGTGAAACCCTGGTAGAGGGAACTCCTACCTCCCTTCGGCATCAACCTATGTGTGAAACAGAAAGGCGAGAAATCACAGCAATTGGTGATTATAATTAGCGTTCCGTATGTTCTCTGTTTACAGTCCAAGTAAACGGAATGTATACTTATTAGAAAATCAAGTGAAATATTTGTTATCACAGTGAACAAAGTACGCATAATCGTGAATGCACGGTAGCTGGAGCGATTAATGGACGGCATATATTTGCCACGGTTGTATTTTTTTTATTACATACCCCTGTTTGGTGAACAGCAGAAAAGACCCCACCCATAGACATAAGGACCAATTGTTCGCTCAGGGAAACGGGCAACCTTAGCCCCAAGACTGACAGTGACGAAGCACATACGGCCCCACAAGTATTAGTGTGGTACAGAACCGGACAACAACGTATTATAGTACCAAAGGTTACATAGCATCTGAAGCCATTCAGTCCAAGTATGCGTAGGATTTGAAGTGTACTGAATGATACAGTAGAAAATCAGATAAAAATTAGTAGGGTTGAACTGCACTGTAATCTCCAAAACAAGTGTGAAAAGCTCAACTAATTTTGGATTACGTGCTTCTGAAATAATGCATTATGTGGCTAAAAAAGAGAAGGAAAAGCAGTCTGATTTACCACAAAATCCAGCGCCTTACATTCACCTAAGGCTCAGTAGCACATACACCGACAGGACTGAACATCAATTGGAAGATCATTAAAGACATGATCACGAATCATTAGGTGTTGAAGTAATGCGACAAACGAAAATAAAACATGAACGGCCACGAAGTAGCTAGCGCGCTTTAATCATAATTATTTGAACATTAGGACACAGGTACGCGTGCAAACATATTTGTGGATCAAACACACACAAAAAAAGACGGACACATACAAACGAGTGCACGCGTGAGCGCATGAGAACGAGTATCTGAGTTCTCGTAGCAGGGGGGAGCGAACCCAGCATTAGACCAATGCACTTCAACGGCACCGAAGTACTACCACAAATTCGCAATCTTATCGCTTAACCATTGATAAAATGGTATTCGGACTATACCGGTAATTAGATACTCAGAAGATGACAACGAGTATGTACGTTGAAGAGTGGCCGGAGAAAGCAAATTTAACTAGGAGTACAGTCCATCAACCCGACCAGGAAGGCAAATGTAACAGCCAATCAGATTCAACCGTCTTGTGGTATGTTGCCACGCTTAAAAACACAGACAAAGACCCGTGACGAAAAACGACAATAACCATATTCCGTTGGAACGTGACAAGTTAAAGATCGATTGCATTAGAATGAATTCGAGCAAACGAAAGCCAATGAATACAATAATCTCATAAATTGGCCGAAGAACTTCAGGTAAGTAATACTACCCAGCTCACCCGAGAAGAAGCTGAAGATGAGGTGAACAGAATCGCTTTGTGAGTGCCAGTAATATTTGAATGAAGGCAACAGTGCATCTAAAGCACAATAGACAGAAAACCCTTGCTAATGCACACACGATCAAGCAAACGTACAGAGACCATCGCTTTGTAATTCAGCAACAACAACGTTCGAAATAGAGAGCTTTTGGCTGATGTCGTATATTCACGAAACGAGTTCGCATAAAAACTACTGCATTTGGGAAAGTTTTGCCACCATAATCGAGTCCATTTTGGCGGTCTTTCCTTCGACACATGACAATGTTTTGTTAGAAAGCTCATCACATGGTTCCTCCATTTGGCTCTGCAAACCCTCAAATGGCGAGAGAAAGTATTACGCAGCTAGGGAGAGAAAAGTGACATCGTTTTGGTTAAAACTGCATGTATCCGTAGGGGAGTAGAAAAAAGGAATGTGTAAATAATTACCTCATGGTCCACCCTTCTCTTCATGCTGCTTTCAACGTGCTTATCTCGCCCTTGTTGACCGTAAACTTTCGNNCAACTGTGAGGATTCGTTCAAACTCCTGCTAGCACTCAATGGACAAGAACTAAAATTGCTCAGTGACGAGGAAGGAGTTGCGGAGCGGAGTTACGCTAATTTACACACACACGTCAACTCTGACCATCATAGATGTTATTTTTAGGAAGTAATGAGGAGTTTTTGGGGTACAAGTATTCTTCTTAAATGAACCAGTATGGAAGCAGAGAAAGCCTACCCACCAAATTTACTTCCATGTCCAATACCAATACTCATACAAGACACGG